GAGCATGGCAGCATGCCGCTGTTGTCCCAGCTACTTGGAAATCTGAGGTGGAAGATTGCTTAAGCCCAGGAATTCAAGGATATAGTGAGCTAGGATGGTGCCACTGTCCTTCCGCCTGGACAACAGAACAAGACCTTATCTTGGTAAATACATAAATAAATAAATGTGTAAAACCGTGAAACCATTACTACAAAGAAGGAAATGAAGAAGGGCTTTATGCCCCCAAAGTGTGCTCTCACCTTGTCAAATCCCTCGCTCTTGTCCATTTCTTTTCTTTTCTTTAGACAAAGTTTCTCTCTGTCTCTCAGGCTGGAATGCAACGATCTTGGCTCACTGCAACCTCTGACTCCCAGGTTCAAGCAATTCTCGTGCCTCAGCCACCTGAGTATCCGGAATTAGAAGCACCTGCCACCACGCCCAGCTAGTTTTCGTATTTTTAGTAGAGATGGGGGTTTCTCCATGTTGGCCTTGGCTGGTCTCGAACTCCTGGCCTCAAGTGATCCACCTGCCTCGGCCTCCCAAAGTGCTGGGATTACAGGTGTGAGCCACTGCAGCTGGCCTCTACTTACCTGTTGATATATGGGTTATTTCCAGTTTGGGGTTATTACAAATAAGGCCAAGAGGAATATTATCTGCAAGTCACTGTGCAGATATATGATTTCATTTATCTTGGTTAAATATCGGAGTGGAATCGCTGAAGTCTATGGTACATATATTTTTAACTTTTTAAGAAGCTACCAAATTGTCTTCCATATTGCTTTAAGCATTTTGCATTTCACCAGCTAAGGGTGAGAATTCTAGTCGTTTTGCGTCCTCATGAACACTTGGGGTGGCCAGTGTTTCTAACTGTAGATGTGGTAATAGGTGTGTCTTGGAATTTCATGGTTTAATTTGCATTTCCCTAATGGCTGAGGTTGACTTTTTTTTTTTTTTTTTTTTTTTTTTTTTTTTTTTTGAGACAGAATCTCGCCCTGTTGCCCAGGTTGGAATGCAATGGTGCAATCTCCGCTCACCACAGCCTCCACCTTCCAGGTTCAAGCAATTCTCTGCTTCAGCCTCCCAAGTAGCTGGGATGACAGGTGCTCACCATCATACCTGGCTAATTTTTGTATTTTTAGTAGAGACAGGGTTTTACCATCTTGGCCAGGCTTGTCTTGAACTCCTGGCCTCAAGTGATCTGCCTGCCTCTGCCTCCCAAAGTGCTGGGATTACAAGTGTGAGCCACTGTGCCCAGCTCTTTTCTGTATTTTTTGCAGAGTCGGGTGGGTCTCGCTCTGTTGCCCAGGCTAGTCTTGAACTTCTAACTTCAAGCAATCATCCCACCTCAGCCTCCCAAAGTGCTGGGATTACCTGTGTGAGCTACTGCGATTGTCCAAATGAGGGATCTTTTCACAGCATGTCTAGCTTGTTACAGAACCCCAAAGTATCATTCATGCTCATCAGTGACTGAAATTACAGTAGCTGTGAGGGCTGCTATTAGAGCTTGGTATTTAAAGTGTTAATAAAGAAGCATGTATGTTACCACATCACCAGTTTAAAAAAATATTTTGATTACTTTTTTTTTATTACGTTTTAATTGTATTGAATATTTTGACTGAATTTCAGGATACTTGGTTTACTTTGCAACTCTGTATTTACTTTTGTGCACTGTAAACATTATGCTGTGCAGGGCAAAACAGTTCTCCCCAGACTGTCAGGGGCCTGAGGCACAAAAGAGATTAGAAACTCCTGGCTTGGAGCCTTTTAGGGGAAAGGTCAGTACTACAGAAAGCTTTCTACCTTGCCAAATTTTTTTCTTATTAAAGGATCTTGAGGCGGAGTGCCGTCGCTCACGCCTGTAACCCCAGCTCTTTGGGAGGCTGAGGTGGGCAGATCACCTGTGGTCAGGAGTTCGAGACCAGCCTGGCCAACATGGTGAAACCCTGTCTCTACTAAAAATAAAAAAGTTAGCTGGGCATGGTAGTGGGCACCTGTAGTCCCAGCTACTTGGGAGGCTGAGGCACGAGAATTGCTTGAACCTGGGAGGTGGAGGTTGCAGTGAGCCAAGATCACACCACTGCACTCCACCCTGAGTAACAGAGCAAGACTCTATCTCAAAAAAAAAAAAAAACGGAAGGAAAAAGATTTTGGGCTGAGGCAGGAGGATCACTTGGGCAACATAGCGAGACCCCTCAACTCTCCAAAAAAAAAAAAAAAAAAAAAATTAGCCTGGCGTGGTGGCATCCACCTGTATTCCCAGCCACTTGGGAGGCTGAGGTGGGAGGATTATTTGAATCCAGGAGATTGAGGCTGCAGTGAGCTGTGATTGCCCCACTGCACACCAGCCTCCGAAACAGGTCAAGCTGCTCTCTAAGATAAATAAGAAATAAATACAGAATTTGGGGACAATGATTGAGATTCATTACTCAACATTCACATTAGTGCATTAATTTTCCTTTTTTTTTTTTTTTCCTTTTTGAGACAGAGTCTCGCTCTGTCACCCAGGCTGGAGCGCAGTGGCACAATCTTGGCTCACTGCAACCTCCACCTCCCGGGTTCAAGGGATTCTCCTGCCTCAGCCTCTCCAGTTGCGAGCTGGTATTATAGGTGTATGCGACCATGCCTGGCTAATTTTTGTATTTTTAGCAGAGACGGGGTTTCACCATGTTGGCCAGACTGGTCTCAAACTCCTCACCTCAAGTGATCCGCCTGCCTCAGCCTCTCAAAGTGCTGAGATTACAGGCATGAGCCACCATACCCAGCCACTTTGCTGCCCCTTAATACGAGGCACGTAAGAGCCCCTCAATGTCCCAGGAAATTTATTTATTCTACCCCAAAGCGGCTGAACTTTTCTAAGTTAGAAGTCCCCAACAGGGGTTAAGGTGAGCTCAGGAAGACAGAAAAGCCTTCCTTAGAGTAGGAAGGCAAAAGCTTGATTGATGTTGATTTTCAGTAGAAAGACCATGGAAAGAGGGTGACACCATCTCCCCTAAAAAAAAAGAAAAAGAAAAATGTGACTGAAGCGCCTACCAGAAAGAACTGATTTTTATTTTATTTTGTATGCCAATTCCATTTATTTATTTATGAGACAAGTCTCGCTCTGTTGATGGAGTGCAGTGGCATGATCTCGGCTCACTGCAACCTCCACCTCCCGGGTTCAAGCAATTCTCCTGCCTCAGCCTCCCAAGCGGCTGGGATTACAGGCGCCTGCCACCACGCCTGGAAAATTTTAAAATTATTTTTAGCAGAAGAGGGGTTCCGTCATGCTGGCCAGGCTGGTCTTGAACTCCTGACCTCAGATGATTTGCCGGCCTCGGCCCCCCACAGTGCTGGGGTTACAGGCATGAGCCACTGAGCTTGTCCCATGGGTCCAAGTCTTGAGTCTGCCCCTGTTCCCCTGCCCAGCCCAAGCCTCAGCCCAGAGCCCCCTCTGTTGTTGTTAAAGTAGAATGGGGGCTTGCACTTGGCCTGGCATAGACCCCAAATCACCAGGGCACAGGGGCAGAAGGGCTCCAGTTACAACTGAATGGAGGTGCTGGAAGCAGAGGTGGCAGGGTGTTTTCCTGAGCACTGAATTGGTCTTCTTCCCTCACCATGGTGGCAGCAGGGGGCCCTACTCTGTCACTTCCTGGTGATTTTGTGCATGGGGCCTCGGAGGCTGAAAGCCCTGGGAGCCGCCCAAGGGTGCTCATGCCCCTATTACAGGGAAGAGTCTGTGGGTGTCTTAGTTACAGCCCTGAGAGCTTTAGATGCCGAGGGATCTGAAATAATGCATCACTGGCTGGGTACAGTGGCTCATGCCTATAATCCCAGCCCTTTGGGAGGTTGAGGTGGGTGGATCACCTCCTATCCAGGATTGCTCAGGAGTTGGACAACGACCCGCCTGGCCAACATGGAGAAACCCTGTCTCTACAAAAAAAAAAAACAAAACAAAAAAATGAGCTGGGTGTGGTGGTGCACGCCTGTAGTCCCAGATACTCGGGAGGCTGAGAGGGAAGGATAGTTGGAGCTTGGTAAGTCGAGCTTTTGTGAGCACCTGTCTCACAAAAGAAAGAAAAAGAAGAGGAAAGAAAGAAGAGAGAAAGAGAAGAAAGAGAAAGAGAAAGAAGGAAAGAAAGAAAAAGGAAGGAAGGGAGGGAAGAAAGGAAGAAAAAGAAAAGAAAGAAGAAAAAAGAGAGAGAGAGATGCTTTCACTGGCCCAAGCTCTGTAAGGCCAGTCCTGGGCAAGGGGACAGTGGGTCTGTGACCCCAGGTCTGGGGTGCTGGGGAGAAGGCAGAGGTTTGGCTCGGCAGGAACAAGATCTTTCTTGAACACTGCCTGGGGACTAGGGTGCTGGGTCTGCCAGCAGGCAGTGTCTCAGGGGCCTAGGGTCATGGGAGCCACAGCTGGAACTCTCCTTGTGGGTAGGTAAGGGGTATGAATGGGACAGGGTGGGGTGGGGTGTGAATGGAGTGGAGCGCGGTGGATGGGAGGGCTCTTTAAACTTCTTCTAAGTCTAGGACCAGGCTGGGAGATCCAGCCTCTTCCACTGTCCAATCCCCTAAGGGCTAAGATGGAGACATCCTGCCCCACCACCCTGTCCCCACCGCCAGACTTCACACAACTGTCCAAAGACGCTTTTCCCTCCTAGTTGGGGCCCTGACTCCTCCTCCTGGCATCCAAGGTCTCCGCATAACCTGGGCGTGCTCCCCATCCCCCACTGTTCCCTGAGTGCCCCTCTTCTCTCTCCAGCACCCCTCATTGTCGCCACCCGTCCCTCTCCCTCACAGCTCCACTAAAGGCCCCTCCCGATCCTAAGACTTAACCCCTGCTGTTGCACCCTCTTCCGGGTGCTGCCCGATGCCCCATGGGGAGTCCCTCAGCTGTCCCACCAGAGACAGAGCTGCAAGGGACCTGACAGGTGTCAGGCCACACTGGGCTGGACAGGGGTCCCTGATGGACGGCGGTCTCTGAGTGTCCGCTCCGCAGTCCCCGACTCGGCTGCCTTCCCCGTGGGAGAAAGGACAACAGGAGAGCCGGGTGCAGTCCCTAAAACAGGCTTTTTAATAACATCGTGTCTTCACTGAAGAGCTTGGCGTGTCCCACCCGGGCGGCGCCGCGGGCTAGTAGAAGGAGTATTGGTTCTCCACGGCGCGCGTGCGGCCAGGCGTGGCCTCTGGGGGCTCCTCGGCGGCGGCGGCGGCGGCCACGGCCTCCAGCAGGCGTTCCGCGCTGTCGCTGCGGCTCCGCGCGCTGAGCGGGCCCTCGACGGGGCGCGGAGGGGCGGGCCCTGATGCGGCCGAGGACGACGAGGTGGACGAGGAGGAGGCGCCGGCGGCGTCGGAGGGCGAAGCGGGCGGGCAGGCGGCCGCGGCGAGGCTGGAGAAGTAGTGCTGGCCGGCCGGCTCGCTCCAGCAGGCCGGGGGTGCGGGCGCCGCGGGGGGCGTGGGGCCCGGCTCTGAAACGAGGTGGCAGCAGGGCGTGAGTGGGGGCTCGGGCTGGCCACACCCAGGAGGGAAGCTGTGATGGCGCAGGGGGCCAGCGCCCACGTTCAGGTTTCCGGGTTGCAGCCCACGTCCTCGGACACACATGCACGCACACTCGCCCCGATGCGTACACAGGAGCGCGCACACACATACCTAACCATGCGTCTGCACGTGCATAAATGAACGCACACGCATGTGAACACACGTGTACACATAAGACACATGCTCGCACACATGTACACCCAAGCACATGCATGCCATGCACGCATACACGCGTGCACGTATACGCAGATGCACACACACCCGCACCGATGCATACGCAGGAGCACACACAAGCTTACAGGGAACTGCGCAGGCGCACATACACATACCTAACCATGCGTGTGCAAGTGCAAATACGCATGTGCATACGCATGCACACTAAGGCACACGCTCGCACACATGCACACACAAGGACCTGTGCACCCATGCACGCATACACACGTGCTTGTATGCGCACATGCAAACATCCAAAGCGTGTGCATACACACTGCACACACATGCGTGCACACGCATGCACATGTACACACAATGTACATGTTCGTACACAAGCACACACACGCCCATGCACACCCACAAGCGCGTGCACGCACACACATGCACATGCACCCATGCCCTTAGTTCGGTCCCAGCAGCTTTGCACTAAGCCTTCCTGGTGCAGGGCTTGGGAATCCATACCCCCAGCTCCTTCCATCCCCAGACCCCACACCCGTCTCCTCCCCCATACGCCCACCTGCACTGCTCTCGGGCGCCCCCTTCCCCTTTCCAGGACTCATTAGGGACACGGCCGCCTCTGGGCTCCCACTTCTGCCTCCATTCCTGATGGCCCGACTGCTTGCAATGGCTGTGGCCGGGCTAGGGTGGGAGTGGCAAGGCCGAGGCTATGGGACTGGAGGCCTGTGGCTCAGCCCACCCCAGGGGCCAGCTTCTTGAGTAATCAAACAAACCAGGTGGTGGCATCTCACCTGGCAGGGGGCCCTGGGCCCGCACATAGCTGCGTAGGGTGATGTCGGCCGAGCCCCCTGACTCCAGTGGGATGGGGTGCGTGTGGAAGTGGCGGAGCATGTCAAGCACAGACTGGAACCACAGGTGCTGTACGTGACACTGGCCGTGGCCGTTCAGGGACAGGCGCAGGTGCTGTGGGTACAGGTGGGTGTGGTCAGAGGCGGGGCTGGGGCTGGGCAGCTGGGTAAGCACCTTTGGGGGTTGATGGAAGGACCCAGGCTCACAGGGGCTGTGTGGGGCTGTGTCAGAGCTGGGGCCCCTCTCACATCAGCCCCTCTGGGGGTGGGGAATGGGGGCAATGGAGCCAGGTGGGACAGAAGGCATCAGGCATTGTCCCCACGCTGGGAGCACCCCAACCCATGCCCCACACACCTCTAATCTCTAATCCCCTCCTCAACGCAGAAGATAGGGATTACTGCCCCCATGTTTGAGATGGGGAAACCAAGTCCCAGGGAGCAGAGGTGACTTGCCCATGGTCTCAGAGCACAGAGTGGGCAAGAGAACTCCTGTTTGAGTGGTTCCCCCAGCCCAGGAGGCTAGAGGTTGGCCCTCTGTCTCTGCAGAGCCAAAACCCGGGGACGTGGAGAACTCCCCACGGCCGGCAGGGAGGAAGGCACGCTGCTGGAACACCTGCAACAGGCTGGCTTCTCTCTGGGTCTCCGGGGCTGGCATGAGGCACGTGCCTCAGGGTAGGAAGCCATTGGCCTGTGGTCTCTAGTGGTGAGCTGCGGGTCTCTGACTTACGCCCTAGTTCGCTCAACATGTATCCCACTGCAGAAAAAAGTCGCTGTCTCTGGGGCGGGTGTGCCAAGAGGGGAGCAAGAGGAGCAGTTTGAGGGTACACACAGGGCCCCAAGCCCAGGACGGGGAGCTGGTCTGGCCGCCTACATAAAAGACAATTGGCCCGGCGCGGTGACTCACGCCTGTAATCACAGCACTTTGGGAGGCCAAGGCAGGCGGATCACAAGGTCAAGAGATCAAGACCGTCCTGGCCAACACAGTGAAACCCGTCTCTACTAAAGATACAAAAATTGGCTGGGCGTGGTGGCTCGCGCCTGTAATCCCAGCAACTCAAGAGGCTGAGGCAGGAGAATGGCTTGAAGCTGGAAGGTAGAGGCTGCAGTGAGCCGAGATCGCGCCACTGCACTCTGGCTTGGTGACAGAGCAAGACTGTCTCAAAAAAAAAAAAAAAAAAAAAGAAAAAAAAATGCAATTGGCCAGGCATGGTGGTTCATGCCTGTAATTCCAGCACTTTGGGAGGCTGAGGTGAGTAGATCAATGGAGGTCAGGAGTTCAAGACCAGCCTGGCCAACATGGTGAGACTCTCCCTGTTTCTTTAAAAAACAAACAAAAAATCCCACCCTTGGAGCAGGGTGGTGGTCCCGCAGTGAGCTCTGCCACTTAGTAGAATTAAGTTGCCAGGACAATGCAGGGACTCAGCCTGAGAGGAACAGCATGGAGGGCTGTCCCTCACAGCTGGGCAGAGTCTGAGCAGGACACCGCTGGGCCCCGGGGGTGAGGAGAAGCAAGGCGGGTGCACCCCGATCTTCTGCCAGACCTTCTAGACGTTTCCTCCGTGAAGGTGGAAAGAGTTGCCTCTCGGAAGGTAGTGATCTTCCCTCCCAGGAGGTATGTAAGTGGGAGGCTGGGGTTCCTGCTTTATCCCACCATCCAATTATCAGGCCAGGGGCTGTCAACTCCACTCTGGGAGAAGAGCAGCCAGGCAGACAGGTGAGAGGCAGGTTCAAGGCCGGGTCTTGTTCCAGGAAGGAGAGGAGCTCCCCGCCCACCCTCTGTTGTCCCATCCGAGCCTCTTGCTTGGGCATGAGTCAGCTCCAGGCTCTCTGGCGGCTGCCGGGAGCAGCACTGGCCGAGAAATAAACTGCACATCACCGGCAATGGCCTTAAGGGCCTGGTTGTCGGAGGAACTGGTAAGCGTGGCTGCTTCCCTGGGGGAGGTGCTACCTCCTGCACGGTGGGGCCAGCCCGGGGAGGGGAGAGGACACTAGAGGGCCCGCACTGGGCCACCAGGGCTTAGGGCAGCTGGGGTCCCTGCAGGGAGACACTGTCCCCCAGCTGCAGGTTTGGAGCAGGAGTCCTGGAGTTCTCTTGCCTCTAGTAGGGGCCGCCAGGAAATCCGTCCTGGCAGGAGCCCAGGCTGAGCGTTTCCTTAACGGAAACCTGGGATGCAGAGGGCGGGCACTGAGGTTCCTGCCTTCTCTGTCCACACTGTACCCTCCCATAATCGTTTGGCTTTGCTGTCAAATTTTCCTTGGAATTTTAGGTCAATAGGCCGGGTGCAGTGGCTCACACCTGTAATCCCAGCACTTTGGGAGGCTGAGGTGGGTGGATCACCCAAGCCAGGAGTTCAAGACCAGCCTGGCCAACACGGTGAAACCCCATCTCTACTAAAAATACAAAAATTAGGCCGGGCGCAGTGGCTCAAGCCTGTAATCCCAGCACTTTCGGAGGCCGAGGCGGGCGGATCACGAGGTCAAGAGATCGAGACCATCCTGGTCAACATGGTAAAAGCTCGTCTCTACTAAAAATACAAAAAACATTAGCTGGGCGTGGTGGTGCGAGCCTGTAGTCCCAGCTACTCAGGAGGCTGAGGCAGGAGAATTGCCTGAACCCAGGAGGCGGAGGTTGCGGTGAACTGAGATCGCGCCATTGCACTCCAGCCTGGGTAACAAGAAACTCCCACTCAAAAAAAAACAAAGAAAAACCAGAAAAATACAAAAATTAGCCAGGTGTGGTGGTGCATGTCTGTAATCCCAGCTACTTTGGAGGCTGAGGCAGGAGAATCATTTGAACCCAGGAGGCAGAGGCTGCAACATGTTGAAACTGAACCCTTGCACTCCAGCCTGGGGGAGAGAGTGAGACTCTGTCTCAAAAAAAACAAAAACAGAGCATTTTAGGTCAATGTGGCCTGCAATCCTCTTCCCTGAAAGCCCGCCGCCTGGGTGGACCTTCATACCTCCAATCCAGCTGCGTGCTGTCGGGATCGCCCTCCCCGCCTGTCTTCCCCTCACAATTCTCCCTCCCCTGCAGCTCTGAGGTCAGGGTGTGCCCTCCAACGCTGACCCCCCGCCCCCAGGCCCTGCACAGCTCTCCCACCCAGCCCAGTCTCCTCCTCCCCTGCTGGGTCTGTAGGGTTTGGCCATGTGGGTGAATTAGGGCCGACTGCAGTTCCACAGTGATGGGTAGGTGGCTCACGGAGCACGGAAGTCACGCCACAGGACCGGGGTCACCACGGCCCCGCTCCCCCAGGGCTGGCTACTGCACCCCTGTGGCCCCCCCACGCACACTTGCCTTGGCCTTGCCCTGGAAGTTGAAGGTCAGCACGTACTCCCCAGGCCGAGTCTCACTTTGACGGATCACGAAGAGGCCGTGGTTCCGGGGCCCCCCGGCCAGAACCAGCTGAGCGGCCCTGACCCGGGACAGTGTTCCGTGGAACCAGGGGTAGTCGCACAGCTCCAGCTCGGGCTCGGCTTCGGCATCTGTCTCTGCACCCTCCTCCCCTGAGGTGGGATGACAGTGTGAGGAACATGGCGGGGGACAAAGAAATCAATGTGAGAAGAGAGGCGGCATCTTGTTGGTTTTTTACGTGCAAAATGGAACTGGAATAATTTTAAACACTTTTGTTGGTTTTTATTTTTTATTTTTAGTTTCTGAGATGGAGTCTCGCTCTGTCATCCAGGCCGGAGTGCAGGGGCATGATCTCGGCTCACTGCGGCCTCCATCTTGTGGCTTCAAGTGATTCTCCTGCCTCAGCCTCCCAAGTATCTGGGATTACAGTCATGTACCACTAGAGGAGGCTAATTTTTGTCTTTTTAGTAGACGTGGGGTTTCACCATGTTGCCCAGGCTGGTCTCGAACTCCTGAGCTCAAGCAATCTGCCTGTCTTGGCCTCCCAAAGTGCTGGGATTATAGGCGTGAGCCACTGCGCCCAGCCGAAAAATTTTATTTATTTATTTAACTTATTTTTTGAGGTAGGGTCTTGCTCTGTCACCCAGGCTGAAGTGCAGCGGCACACTCACGACTCACTACGGCCTTGACCTCCTGGGCTGAAGCAATCCTCCCACCTCAGCTTCCTGGGTAACCCTGATGCCCGGCCAATATTTGTTTAGTTTTTGTAGAGACGGGGCCTTGCTTTGTTGCCCAGACTAGTCTGGAAGTCCTGGGCTCAAGCAATCCTCCTGCCTTGCCTTCTTGAAGAGCTAAGATTACAGGTGTGAGCCATTGTGCCCAGTCAGAATAATTTTAGAATCAGGCAGGGAGCTGACCCAACCCAATGGTGAAGTATATGAGATAAACCGAGGCACAGAGCTGTGAAAGACTATCTTGGAGTTGTTCTGTACGTCATCAACAAACCTGGGAACAAATCCAGTCTCCTGTTCCCAACCCTCAATTCCAACCCTCTGTACCCTTTTCTGTGAGCATCTTTCCCTCCCTCCCTCCCTTCCTGTTTTTGAGACACGGTCTCTCTCTGTTGCCCAGGCTGGAGTGAATGGTGTGATCACAGCTCACTATTGCAGCCTCAACCTCCTGGGCTCAAGTGATCCTCCCACTTCGGCCTCCCAAGTAGCTGGGACTGTAGGTATATGCCAACGTGCCCAGATAATTAAAAAAATTTTTTGTGGCCAGGCGTGGTGGCTCATGCCTGTAATTCCAGCACTTTGGGAGGCCGAGGTGGGCGGATCACTTGAGGTCAGGAGTTCAAAACCAGCCTGGCCAACATGGCGAAACCCTGTCTCTACTAAAAATACAAAAATGAGCCGGGTATGGTGGTGGGTGCCTGTAATCTCAGCTACTTGGGAGACTGAGATGTGAAAATCGCTTGAATCGGAGGGTGAGAGTTGAAGAGCCATGATCCACCACTGCACTGCAGCGTAGGCAGCAAAATGAGACTGTCTCAAATGTTTTGTACAGAGAGGGTCTTGTTATGCTGCCCAGACTAGTCTCAAACTCCTGGCTTCAAGTGATCCTCAGTCTCCCAAAGCGCTGGGCAGGATTACAGGTGTGAGCCACTGTACCCAGCTCCTGTGAGCATTTTCTTTTCTTTCTTTTCTTTTCTTTTTTTTTTTTTTGAGACAGAGTCTCACTCTGTCACCCAGGCTGGAGTGCAGTGGCACGATCTCAGCTCACTGCAACCTCTACCCCCCTGGGTTCAAGTGATTCTCCTGCCTCAACCTCCCGAGTAGCTAGGATTACAGGTGTGCACCACCACGCCCAGCTAATTTTTGTATTTCTAGTAGAGACGGGGGCCAGGCTGGTCTCAAACTCCTGACCTCAGGTGGTTCATCTGCCTTGTTGGGGTTACGGGCGTGAGCCACTGCACTCAGCTCCTGTGAACATTTCCTATCAAAACTTGGTCCAGTGGGAGGGGCCAGGTTTTTAGACTGGTCTACAAAAGCCAGAAGTACTTCAGAGCTGTGTGAAGGACCCAGGGGAATGAGATGTCACCGCTTCTGAGGCTCAGCAATGTTTTGGAGGGAGCCCACGGGTGGCCATGGCTGGGGGGGTGGTCCAGGAGAGGTGGGGTGGGAAGATCAGGCTGTCCCCACTGGCACCTGTGTTATTGCTGTCACTGCCGCTGCCGCCTGGGTATTCCAGGGTCTGCAAGAAGGTCTCTAGCGGGACATGGATCAGGGACTCTCTGATGGCATCTCGACCTCGGCTGTGGGGGGCTGTCACCACGGCGCCCACGGCTGTCGTCTCTGGGGGCCGGGGCGGGTCGGCTGCTGTAGAAGTGGCAGGTAAGCACGTATCTTTATCCGTCCACCCTGAATGTGCACCTCCTCCAACCTGTCTGCCTACCTACCGTCCGTCAGGAGCTCACAGCTGCAGGAGGCCACGCGGCTGGCCAGACAGCCTCCCCGGGAACAGGAGAGCTCGGTGTCTTCCTCACTGTCCCTGTGAAGACAAGAAATGGAAGCCACGTCCTGCTGTGGGACTCGGACCTGGACCATGGGCTGCTTCTGTGGCCAGGCAGTGGCTGACAGTACCACGGCCAGCATCCAGCTCTCCTGCCTCTGGTCACTTCCCTCTGCCTCCACGTCCCTCTGTCCCACTCTCTGCTGGCTCTGTGGCCACCATGTGATTGACCAGGCCACTCTTGGGGCTCAGAAAACAATACCCCAAAATAAAGTCCTCAGCAGTCGCCTCAGAAACAAAAAAGTTTGGCAGGGTGCGGTGGCTCACTCCTGTAATCTCAGCACTTTGGGGGGCTGAGTGGGTGGATCACGAGGTCACCAGTTTGAGACCAGCCTGACTAACATGGTGAAACCCCATCTCTACTAAAAATACAAAAATTAGCTGGGTGTGGTGGCATGTGCCTGTAATCCCAGCTACTCTGGAGGCTGAGGCAGGAGAATCATTTGAACCTAGGAGGTGGAGGTTGTGGTAAGCCAAGATCGTGCCATTGCACTCCAGCCTGGGCGACAGAGCCAGACTCTGTCTCAAAAAAAATAGTTTTTTGCCGGGCGCGGTGGCTCATGCTTGTAATCCCAGCACTTTGGGAGGCTGAGGGGGGCAGATCACCTGAGGTCAGGAGTTCAAAACCAGCCTGACCAATATGGTGAAACCCCATCTTTTATTTATTTATTTATTTTTTGAGACGGAGTTTCGCTCTTGTTACCCAGGCTGGAGTGCAATGGCGCGATCTCGGCTCACCGCAACCTCCGCCTCCTGGGTTCAGGCAATTCTCTTGCCTCAGCCTCCTGAGTAGCTGGGATTACAGGCACGCGCCACCATGCCCAGCCTAATTTTTTGTATTTTTAGTAGAGACGGGGTTTCACCATGTTGACCAGGATGGTCTCTGATCTCTTGACCTCGTGATCCACCCGCCTCGGCCTCCCAAAGTGCTGGGATTACAGGCTTGAGCCACTGCGCCCGGTGAAACCCCATCTTTAAAAAAATAAAAATAAATAAATAAATAAAATAAAAAAAGTTTTTCTCCGACCCTCTCCTGCCTACTGTCTCTCAGTCCTGTCCTCCTCAGCTACACCAGAGAAATGAAAGCCCTTCTTTCCCAAGGCAGGTCACAGAAACCAGAACCCCCTTTTCCAAAATGTAGCCCTAAAACCTAAAAATCTATTTTTTTTTTTTTTTTTTTTGAGACGGAGTCTTACTCTGTCACCTGGGCTGGAGTGCAGTGGCATGATCTTGGCTCACTGCAACCTCCACGTCCTCGGTTCAAGCAATTCTCCTGCCTCAGCCTCCAGAGTAGCTGGGATTACAGACAGGTACCCACCACCACAGCCTGGCTAATTTTTTTTGTTTCTAGTAGAGATGGGGTTTCACTGTACTGGCCAGGCTGGTCTCAAACTCCTGACTTCATGATCTACTCGCCTTGTCCTCCAAAGTGCTGGGATTATAGGCGTGAGTCACTGCACCCGGCCAACCTAAAAATATTCTAGGTAAAAACTTGTCATAAAGAAATTATCCAGCCAGGCATGGTGGCTCATGTTTGAAATCCCAGCACCCTAGGAGCCGAGGTGGGAGGGATCACTTGAGGCCAGGAGCTTGCGATCAGCTTGGGCAACATACTTAGATCCCTATCTTTTTTTTTAAATTTTTTTTTTTATTTTTATAGGATGAAGTATTGCTCTGTTGCCCAGGCCCCAGGGCAGTGACGTGATTTCAGCTCACTGCAACCTCCGACTCCTGGGTTCAAGTGATTTTCCTGCCTCAGCCTCCGGAGTAGCTGGGATCACAAGCATGCGTCAACACACTCAGCTAATTTTGTGTGTGTGTGTGTGTGTGTGTGTGTGTGTGTTTAGTAGAGTTGGGGTTTCACCATGTTGGCCAGGCTGGTCTCGAACTCCTGACCTCAGTTGATCTGCCTTCCTTGGCCTCCCAGAGTGCAGGGATCACAGGTGTGAGGCACTAGGCCTGGCTGAGAGATCCCTGTTTAATAATAAAAATTAGCTGGGCCTGGTGGTGAGGCAGGAGGATCAATGGAGCCCAGGAGTTGGAGGCTGCAGTGAGCTGTGATTATGCCACTGCCCTCCAGCTTGAGCAACAGAGCAGAAAATAAATAAATAAATAAATAAATAAAAAGAAGGAAAGGAAAGCAAGCAAGAAAGAATTACCCAACTTACGGGTCTGAATGTAGGTCATCAGAGCCCTGTTCAAGTAAGGGTTCTGTCCCCCACCCAGAGGGAAGAAATGCTTCTCAGAGAGGCCAAGAAGAATCTAGACAGACAGGGCTGGCTGGGTCCCCTGCTCAGCCTATTCCCGTTAGATCCTGACCTTTGTGTCCAATCCTCTTTCTACACAGCTGTCTATACTTTCTTTTTTTTTTTTGAGACGGAGTTTCGCTCTTTGTTACCCAGGCTGGAGTGCAATGGCGCGATCTCGGCTCACCGCAACCTCCGCCTCCTGGGTTCAGGCAATTCTCCTGCCTCAGCCTCCTGAGTAGCTGGGATGACAGGCACGCACCACCACTGCCCAGCTAATTTTTTTGTATTTTTAGTAGAGACGGGGTTTCACCATGTTGACCAGGATGGTCTTGATCTCTTGACCTCGTGATCTACCCGCCTCGGCCTCCCAAAGTGCTGGGATTACAGGCGTGAGACACCGCGCCCGGCTATACTTTCTGAACCTAAGCATAACAATGGATGGTTTCCCCAGTATCTTTTTTTTTGAGCTGGAGTCTTGCTCTGTTGTCCAGTGGAGTGCAGTGGTGCGAACTTGGCTCACTGCAACCTCTGCCTCCCGGTTTCAAGTGATTCTCCTGTCTCAGCCTCCTGAGTAGCTGGGATCACAGGGGCCCACCACCACACCCCACTAATTTTTGTATGTTTAGTAGAGATGAGGTTTCACACCATGTTGGCCAGGCTGGCCTCGAACTCCTGACCTCATGTAATCTGCCTGTCTCAGCCTCCCAAAGTGCTGGGATTACAGGTGAGAACCACCCCACCTTGCCCTCCCTTGTATCTTTGAGTCTTCATTCTGAAGGCTCTCATGTATACACGTTAAATACATTTATATGCTCTTTCTCCTATTAATCTGCTTTGTGTAGCTAAGCACACTGGCCCATGCCTGTAATCCCAGTGCTGTGAGAGGCTGAGGCAGGCGGGTCTCTTGAACCCAGGAATTCAAGACCAGCCTGGGCAACATAGCAAGATCCCATTTCTCTTTTGTTTTTTTAAGACAGGGTTTCACCATGTTGGTCAGGCTGGTCTTGAACTCCCAACTTCAGGTGATTCGTCTGCCTTGGCCTCCAAAGTGCTTGGATTACAGGTGTGAGCCACCACGCCCGGCCACAAGATCTCATCTCTAAAAAATAAAAATAAAAATAAAAATTAGGCGGGGGGGGGGCCGGGCGCGGTGGCTCAAGCCTGTAATCCCAGCACTTTGGGAGGCCGAAGCGGGTGGATCACAAGGTCGAGAGATCGAGACCAACCTGGTCAACATGGTGAAACCCCGTCTCTACCAAAAATACAAAAAGTTAGCTGGGCATGGTGGCCCGTGCCTGTAATCCCAGCTACTCAGGAGGCTGAGGCAGGAGAATTGCCTGAACCCAGGAGGTGGAGGTTGCGGTGAGCCGAGATCGCGCCTTTGCACTCCAGCCTGGGTAACAAGAGCGAAACTCTGTTTCAAAAAAAAAAAAAAAAAAATTAGGCGGGGGGCAGTGGCTCACACCTGTAATCCCAGCACTTTGGGAGACTGAGGTGAATGGATCACCTGAGGTCAGGAGTTTGAGACCTGCCTGGCCAACATAGTGAAACCCCATCTCTACTAAAAATACAAAAATTAGCTGGGCGTGGTGGCAGGCACCTGTAATCCCAGCTACTTGGGAGGCTGAGGCAGAAGAACTGCTTGAACCTTGGAGGCGGAGGTTGGAGTGAGCTGAGATTGTTGCCATTGCCCTCCAGCCTGGGAGACAAGAGTGAGACTCCATCTCAAAAAAAAAAAAAAAAAAAAAGAAAAAGAAAAAGCCAGCCATCGTGGCATGGGCCTACAGTCCCAGTTACCTGGGAGGCTGAGGTGGGAGGATCGTTCGAGCCCAGGAGGTTGAGGCTGCAGTGAACTGTGGTCACACCACTGTACTCCAGCCTGGCCGACAGAGCAAGACCTTACCTCTAAAAAATAAAATAACATGCTGGGCGCAGTGGCTCACACCTGTAATCCCAGCACTTTGGGAGGCCAAAGCAGGTGGATCAAAGGTCAGGAGATGGAGACTATCCTGGTTAACACAGTGAAACCCCATCTCTACTAAAAATACAAAAAATTAGTTGGGCGTGGTGGTAGTTGTCTGTAATCCCTCCCTCAGGAGGCTGAGATGGGAGAATCATTTGAACTTGGGAGGCACAGGTTGCAGTGAGCAGAGACCGTGCCACTGCACTCGGGCCTGGGCAACAGAGCAAGACTCCATCCCAAAATAAAATAAAATAAAATAAAATAAAATAAACAAACAAATAAATAAATTCGTCTGACTTTTTCTCTTATTTATCTGCCTTTTGCAAACTGATTTTCCACTGAAAATTCAGAAGCCCAAGGGGAAGGCTCTCTCTAGGCCCCTATACCACCAAGTGGGTACAGGCCCCACTGAGGCCCCATGACCCCTGCCCACTATCCCTGAGGGGCGAGGCTCCTCCTGGGATCCCGTGCGAGACCCTCAGAGAGGATGGGAAGGTTTCTCTCCTCGTCTGTGACACAAGGTATCTGGGACCCTGCCAGCTCTAAAATTCCACAAAGCGCGGTTCACCTTCGCAGGGGCTGGGGAAAGCGCCTAGAGGGCTGCGGGGGAGCAGCGATTACAACCACTTTGTGCTCGGGACCTTAACTGTGTTTCTTTAAATGAAGCTGTTAATTAGAAAGCAGCGGCCCCTCCCCCCGGGGCTTGGCTCACCCCATTAGCGGGCAGAGCTGCTGCCAACTGCTCAGCCTGTCAGGCCGCCTGTCCCTCCTACTCCTGGCCTGGCATCTCTCCTGGACAGCGGAGCCAACCTTTCTGCTGATTTTCCTGTACACAGCTGACCGTAACTGCCCTCTGCTTGTTACCCGCCATGGCTCCCATTGTCCCTGACCTAACCATTAACTGAGCTCTCATCAAAATCTCCTCCTCACTGGCTACCCCAAAGGCCTTGATGTTCCCTGTAATGGTCCCTGGTGCCTGTACACTTCCACACCTTTTAAAAGTAGTAGTATTTTTTGAGACGGAGTCTTGCTCTGTCGCCCAGGCTGGAGCGCAGTGGCGCCATCTTGGCTCACTGAAACCTCCCCCTCCCAGATTCAAGCGATTCTCCTGCCTTAGCCTCCTGAGCAGCTGGGATTACAGACACCCACCACCACACCTGGCTAATTTTTGTAGTTTTAGTAGAGACAGGGTTTCACTATGTTGGCCAGGCTGGTCTCGAACTCCTGACCTCAGGTGATCCACCCACTTCAATTAAAGTGCTGGGACTACAGGCGTGAGTCACCAGGTCTGGCCCTGGCCAAATTTTTTATTATTATTTTTTAAGAGTTAGGCTCTTGCTCTGTTGCTCAGGCTGGAGTACAGTGGCACAATCCTAAATCACTGCAGCCTCCGACTCCTGGGCTCAAGTGATCCTCCTGCCTCAGCCTCCTGAGTAGCTGGGATAACAGATACATGCCTCTGTGCCCAGTTCCATTTCCACTCTTTTTGCTGGGCTGTTCTCTCTGCCCTCTCCCATCCTTCTCTGCCTGGCATAGGTCTACTCTTTATTTAAGCCTCAGGTTAGGTGAGCATGCCTACCAGGAAGCCTTCCCTGAGCCCAGGGCTGGGTTAGGAGTCTCTCCCCAGCTCTTTTTATTTATTTTTTTTTAATTTTAAGAGACAGGGTCGGCTGGGTGCAGTGGCTCACGCCTGTAATCCCAGCACTTTGGGAGGTGGGCGGATCACTTGAGGTCTGGGGTTCAAGACCAGCCTGGCCAACATGATGAAACCCCGTCTCTACTAAAAATAAAAAAAATTAGCTGGGTGTGGTGGCACGTGTCTGTAATTCCAGCTACTTGGGAGGCTGAGGCAGGCGAATCGCTTGAACCCGGAAGGCGGAAGTTGCAGTGAGCTGAGTTTGTGCCACTGCACTCCAGCCTGGGCGACAGAGCAAAACCTTCTCAAAAAAAAAAAAAAAAGAGAGAGAGAAGGTCTGGCTATATGTTGCCCAGTCTCCTCTTGAACTTCTGGGCTCAAGCAATCCTCCCAGCTCAGCCTTCCAAAGTGTTGGGATCGCAGATGTGAGTCACTGCGCCCGGCACCCAGCCCTTTGGGGACTCCTTCCCATCTCTGCCCAACTCCCAGTGCTCTGAGGAGTTGGAAAGTCCTCTGGAAAGGGCTTGGTCCAACTCCTTTGCAGGTCCCCAGGCCCTAGGCCCACAGAGCAGGCCCCGCAGAGTCTGCTGGGGATTGGAGGTGAGGGGGATTTTAAAGCAGGGGTGATCCTGGCTGGCACCAAGCGGAATCGCACTGAATTGCTCATTTCTCAAGCTGAGCTCCTGCCCTGTTAGGAAGCTACTCCTGGTGAAGCCTGGACCAAGGACACACCCAGCCCATCCACCCATCCTCAGGCCTCTTGGACACTCACCCAGGGTTCACACAGCCCTGGATGTCAGCTACCCACGAGTGCTTCTGCAGAGAATCGATGGTCTCCAGGATGTACTCGGCTCCATTCTCTACCTGGGAAGGAAAGTGGCCAGGAGTCCAGAACACGGTCAGCAGACAGGCTCCGGATCCCAGGGCATAGGGCCAGAGTGGCTCAAACGGCTCATCGCGCCCCTCCCACAGCAGGGCTCAGGGGCGTGTGCAGCAGGAAGGACAGTGGGGTCACCATCGGGCAGCACCCGGAACCCAGGCCAGGGACCCAGGGGTACAGCCTGCAGCTCATACTCTGCCTACCGCCCTCCTGGGCCTCCCCACTGGGGATATGTTCTTTCCCACTGATCTCAGCTCCTTCGCCTTGGAGATGGAGCCTCTGAGGAGGCCATGCTGGCGGGGGAGGGATGGGTGATCCAGCATCCCCAACCCACGGCCTGGCACCCCAGGGATGGGGTTCAAGTTGCGCAGAGAGGCAGGCTGGCCAAGCACACTGAGTTGTAGGGCTGGGGTGCCTTAGTGCCTGGAGTTGTACCAGCATGTCCACGTGCTTGAGATAAGCAGAGTCTGCAGGGGAGGAGGGCAGGGCGACACTCCTGCTGGGGCCAGGCCCAGAGCATAACTCTGCACTCTGCTCAACTCCTCCTGATGGCCCTGTGAGGGAGGGGAGCCATTTCCCCCATTTTATAGACGAGAAGACCAAGGTTCAGAGAGGTCAAGAGCTTGCTCAAAATCACACAGCAGCCAGTGGCAGGGCTGGGGCCTGAACCCAGGTCTCTGGGACACCCAGGCCCCATGCTGTCGGCTTCTGGTTGTGTGCCTCTGTCAAAATGCAGTTGTGGGGCCGGGCAAGGTGGCTCATGCCTGTAATCCCAGCATTTTGAGAGGCTGAGGTGGGTAGATGTCCTGAGCCCAGGAGTTCGAGACTAGCCTGGGCAACATGGTGAAATCCTGTCTCTACCAAAAATACAGAAATTAGCCAAGCATGGTGGCATGTGTCTTTGGGCCCAGCTACTCAAAAGGCTGAGATGGGAGGATCGCCTGAGCCCGGGAGGCGGAGGTTGTAGTGAGCTCAGATCACTCCACTGCACTCCAGCCTGGGTGACAGAGTGAGACCCCATCTCCAAACAACCAACCAAAAAAGGTCATTGTTGGACTCCTAGGGTGACAGAGCTGGGAGGGTTCTCAGAGATTGCCTTTAATGCCTCTCTAAACAGATGGGGAAACTGAGGCAGGTGAGCCCCTCTGCCTCAGGATTGTCTGCATGATCAGCAGCTTAGAGGGTACCAGGTGGGCGGGGGCTGTGTCTCCAGGGTCCAGGGTTGGTAAATGCTCCATAAATGAGTAAGTGAGTCCGTGACTAAACAAATGGGAATGGGTCAAAACACAAACACAACCAGATGCCTGGAGAAGAGGGTGGGGGCTTCATGCAGGATGAGTGGGTGGGACCAGGCCTCCCCAGGGACACTGCTTCACCAATACCCTCTGATCTTTTTCGGAGGCCCAGGGACCACAGCCCTGGCAGCCTGGAGCTGTGTGTCCTCAGACAAGGATGGGCTGCCCCTAGACCCACCAGGGTGCCTCCCCGCCCACCCTCGGGGCCTGTGTGCCCTCCGTGGGAGACCAGGCCGGTTCCCACACTGCAGTACCCTGTGATGGGAACATTTGCATAACTGTTGCCGGCTGGCCACCAGTGGGGTGGGTGTGTGCTGGCTCCAGTTGGGGAAAGGAGGGCAGGAAGTGAAACTGATGAGCTTCTCCCAGCCCAGGGGTAAACGGGAGCAAGGGGCCCAGATGTTGGGCAACACCCAGGGAGCTGAGATTCAAGTCTTAGCTATGTGCTAGCCATCTGTCGTAGGGTCTGGGGACCCCAACACCGGGGCTCCCTCCCACTACCATCCTGCCTTAGGCTTCTTCTCCTCAATCCCCTACAGAGCTGTAGCACCTACAGGGGAGGTAGCCTGGGGCAGCCGGAGGATCTTCGGGGTTAGGGGTGAGACCTCACCTTGAGCACAAATGTGTTGTCCTTCTCTGGCATTTCCAGGGGCATGGTGGTGCGCACCTCAATGATGGCTGACAGTGGGATGCTGACCTTGGGCCTGGAGGCCTGGGGGCCAGAAGGACAGTGAGTGGTCCCAGCACTTCCTCACACCCTCCCCATCCCCTCCCTGCTGCCAGGCGTCAGGGCGGCCCTCAAATAGACGGCCACGGCCATGCTGGTACAGAGGGGGCCCAACCCCAGGTCACAGACAGGGAAGTTGAGGAAGACATTTCTTTGAAACAAAGGACCTTTTCCTGGCTAGGTGTGGTGACTCTTGCCTATAATCCTAGCACTTTGGGAGGCTAAGGCTGGAGGATGGCTTGAGTCTAGGAGTTCAAGACCAGCCTGGGCAACAAAGGGAGTCCTTATCTTTACTCAAGATGAAAAAACTTAGCCGGGTGTGGTGGCATGCGTGCCTGTAGTTCCAGCTACTTGAGAGGCTGAGGTGGAAGGATCACTTGATCTGGGGAGGCTGAGGCTGCAATGAGCTATAATGGCACCATTATATTCCTGCCTGGGTGACAGTGCGAGATCCAGTCTCAAACACAAACAAACAAACAAAATGAACACCTCCTCCTATAGTCACCCAGCAAGTCTGGGACAGGACCAGATCTGAGGAGCCCTGAGGAGTGAACCCCACCTGGGCTGCCCTCTGCCCAATGCACCCACGAGATCTGTGGTTTTCGTTTTCACCTTGACCTGTTGTGAGAAATACACTGGGACCCAGTACACACAGACATAGGTAAAAATATCTCCGAAACAAATGTCTCACCAGACGAGAATTACCCTTCCTGTGTGTGACAGGGTGTGATATTTTCTATTCTATTCTAGTTCACTTTTGAAAAAATGCTGGTCTTGGTTGGGTGTGGTGGCTCACACCTTTAATCCCAGCACCTTCAGAGGCCGAGACAGGCAGATCACTTGAGGTCAGGAGTTTGAGACCAGCCTGGGCAACATGGTAAAACCCCGTATCTACTAGAAATACAAAAATTAGCCAGGCGTGGTGGTGCTTGCCTGTAGTCCCAGCTACTTGGGAGGCTGAGGCAAGAGAATCACCTGAACCTAGGAGGTGGAGGATTCAATGAGCTGCGATTGCACCACTGCAATCCAGCCTGGGTGACAGAGTGACACTGTCTCAATAAAATAAAACAAAATAGCCTGCCACGGTGGCTCATGCCTGTAATCCCAGCACTTTGGGTGGTCGAGGCAGGCAGATTATGAGGTCAGGGGTTCGAGACCAGCCTGGCCAACATGGTGAAACCCCGTCTCTACTAAAAATACAAAAATTAGCTGGGCATGGTGGTGCGTGCCTGTAATCCCAGCTACTCGGGATGCTGAGGCAGGAGAATTGCTTAAACCCGGGAGGCGGAGGGTGCAGTGAGCCAAGATCACGCCACTGTACTCCAGCCTGGGTGACAGAGCAAGACTCTGTCTCGAAAAAAAAATTGTTTAAATTAAAAATAAAAAGAATTGGCTGGGTGTGGTGGCTCACGCCTGTAATCACCTGAGGTCGAGAGTTCAAGACCAGCCTGAACAACATAGTGAAACCCTGTCTTTATTAAAAAATAATAATAAAATAAAAAATAAAAAAATTAAAAATGACAGTCTTAAAACCTGGTGGCTTATTAAAAAAAAAAAAGGGAGCCGGGCTCAGTGGTTCAAGCCTGTAATCCCAGCACTTTGGGAGGCTGAGGCGGGTGGATCATGAGGTCAAGAGATCGAGACCATCCCAGTCAACATGATGAAACCTCATCTCTACTAAAAATACAAAAATTAGCCGGGCATGGTGGTGCACGCCCGTAGTCTCAGCTACTCGGGAGGCTGAGGCAGGAGAATTGCTTGAACCCAGGAGGCGGAGGTTGCGGTGAGCCGAGATCGCGCCATTGCACTCCAGCCTGGGTAACGAGCGAAACTCCATCTCAAAAAAAAAAAAAAAAAAAAGAAAAGAAAAAAGAGAAAAAATGCTGGTCTCCTAATACAGACCAGACCTTCCAGAGTGGGCCCTGGAGCCCCTAACTCAGAACGGGACTCGATGCTTCCTGGAGTGAGTAAAAGGGACCACTGTTCCCAACAGCGCTGCGGGCAGGGTTGATCCAAGGTGAGCTGGCAGGCTGTGTGGGATGGCCATTCTGTGTCTGGTCCCGCCGACTCTGCCTCAAAGCTCTCTGCAGTAAACCTGAGCCCCCCCTCCCCCATGCCTCCTCTCTGGGAGCTGGCCTGAGTCTGGGATTTCCAGCAGGGCTCTGTCTCCAGGACAGGACAGGGACTTTCTTAGGAGGAAAAGGAAGGGCCACACATTTGACGGGCAGGCAGATGGGAATTCCAGGAAGCACTGGCCCCTGTCCAACGGGTGCAGGGCTGGGCTTGGAGCATGAATGGGGCCTGGCTGATGCTGGTGTGTGGCCGTCATGCTGGCCAGCAGGGCCGGGGACAGAGCAGACAGAGGTCTGCCATGGAGGCCTGGACTGAAAGCTTCAGCAGGGATCCTGCTGGCCAGAGATGCTGTGGTCCCTAGCTTGGAATCTGAGGTCCATCCATCCTGGTCCAGCCTCCTCCTAGCTGTTCCAGCCACAACTCACTGTGCCTACATCCCTGAATGGTCAACTGGCATTACAACTCCAGGCCTTTGCCCACAGAGCTGACGCCTCCAGAAGTGCCTGTTCCAGGGTCCCGGCCACTTAGGCAGCCACAGCTTTTCCTCCTTGGGGCCCTGTAACACCCAGGGTTCACCCCACTAGGGTTTCTTTTTTTTTTTTTTGAGATGGAGTCTCCCTCTGTCACCAGGCTGGAGAGTGCAGTGGTACAATTTCGGCTCACTGCAATCTCTGCCTCCCAGGGAGGCGGAGGGGATTCTCCTGCCTCAGCCTCCTGAGTAGCTGAGACTACAGGTGCCCACCACCACACCCAGCTAATTTTTGTATTTTTAGTACAGACAGGGTTTTGGCATGTTGGCCAAGATGGTCTTGAACTCTTGACTTCAAGTGATTCACCCGCCTTGGCCTCCCAGAGTGCTCGGATGACAGGTGTGAGCGGCCAAGCTTGGCCGACCCCACTAAGCTTTGCAAGCCTCCTGAAAATACCAGGTTTCCCAGTGGCTTCCCTGATGGCAGGGGGCTGGCGTCATCGCTCCTTGGGTCCCCAGGGCTGGCCTGGCATAGGGCAATGAGGGGACCTGGGTTCGGGGGCTCTTCCTGCAGAGGTGAGGAGGCAGGAAGCCAGAGGCCTGACTCATCACAGCTGACACCTCGAAGGCTGTGTGAGACGGAAGTCTAAGGTGCCAGGCCATGGCCCCTGAGCCCGCAGGCCCTGAGCTCCTGACTTCTCCAAGGGTGCAGCTAGGCCTCTCGGGGGTGAGAGATCCGGACTGTGAGTGGGTACAGAGGCAGTGGGGGTGTCATTAGGGCCATCCCAGCAGGCTCACTCACCCTGGCGGCCGGCTTCCTGGGACCAGACACATTTAGAAAACTCAACCGAACTCCTGCCGTGGAAGGAGTTACTCACCCATGGGACTGATTCCTGAATACCCACAAATGCCCCCACCTTTGCATGACGCAAAGAGGGGAAGGACCCGGTGACCCCGCAGGAACGCTGCCCTCTGCCAGCAGCAAAGTTAGCAGCTCTGCTGGGACTAAGGGGGGGGCCACCAGCTGCTGCCTCCCCTCCCCCGAGGGTGGCAGACGCTGCTATTTACAGAAGGGCAGCTGTGACTGCGACTCAGGCCTGAGGTGCTGGAGCCCCGGGCCTCTGTCCCTGCCCTCTGGGTGACCCTGGGTAAACCCCACCCCACCCGTTACTGGGTCTCGGTCTCCCTGTCGGACAAGGAGTAGAGTGAGGCTTAGGGGTCTAGGATTTCTTCCAGGGAATTAAAGGCAGGGGCCTGGGCAGGGAAAAAGCTCTTGGGAAGTCTAGGGGTGCTGGGACCTGGGGACAAAGCTCTTCAGAGAGTAGGTGTGCCCTTGGAAAGTCACTTTTTTAGGACTCATGTGGCTCATGGGCACTGAAGCTTGGGGAGCCCCCACCCCTCCACCTCCAGGCGCCCAGATTCCCCCAGCAGAGTGAGAGTTGGAGAGAGCGCTAAGAAACTGAGGGTGACTCAGAGAGCACCCAGGGCAGAGTGGGCCTTGAGGTGGGAGGTAGGTGGGGGGCCCTCAATGGTTCCTGGGGGTGCTGTCAGCTGCTACAGCAGCAAAACCTCCCCCTGCCCAAACCTCCCAGTGCCCAAGGACCTCTCCTTCCACATTCTTCAGTTTTGGGACCACCAGGGTGGCGGGTATCATTACCCCAGGTTTTTTGTTTTTGTTTTTGTTTTTGAGACCCTATCTCAAAAAACAAAAACAAAAACAAAAAACCTGGGGTAATGATACCCGCCACCCTGGTGGTGGGTCTCACTCTGTCACCCAGGGCAGTGGCACAATCCTGGCTCACTGACTCCTGGGTTAAAGCGATTCTCCTGCCTCAGCCTCCCAAGTAGCTCGACCTACAGGCACACATGACCATGCCCGGCTACACTAGCCTCGTTCTGGCACCTGCCAGCTGTGTGACGTTGGGCAGGCCACACTCCCTCTCTGAGCATCTGTGCTCTCTTCTGTAATCTGGGGACCATGTGCTCACCTTGCTGGGATGGGGTACCTGGAGGATGACAGCGTGTACGTGCAGATGCCCAGCAGGCTGAGGTCTGGACATACTGTGTGCTCTCAGAGGGTGGGTACCTTTGATACGTCTATTCCCACTTTCCAAAGCAGGGGGGCCACCCTGGAGAAGACGTGACACTACCACCAGGGACCTGATGGCCGGTCCCTAAGAGGGGAAGGGTCAGTGCACGTCAATGAGCAATAATGTTGGTGACAGCCAGAAAGAAGCTGGCATCCAGAAAAGAGCCCCCTGTGCAGGGGCTGGGCTGGAGCCTGGCAGCTGAGCTGGGAGAGAGCAGAGCCCTGTGGAGTCAGACATGGGCCTCCCGGGGAGCCCTCTGTGAATGTGCTCGGCCACTCCTGCCTTCATCCCTGCAGGCCTCAGCTCTAAGAGGTGCCAGCTACCCTCGAGCTGCAGAAAAGGGAGGGCAGGTAGCCAGGCTCTTGAATAACACCAAGAACGGTGCCCTGAGCTGGGCACAGTGGCTCACACTTGCAATCAATTCCAGCACTTCGGGAGGTCAAGGTTGGGGAGGATCTCTTGAGCTCAGGAGTTCAAGACTAGCTGGGCAACACAGTTAGATCCCATCTTCATGGGGAAAAAAAAAAAAAATTGCTGGGAGTGGTGGTGTGTGTGGTCCTAGCTACTCAAGATGCTGAGACAAGAGGGTTGCCTGAGTGCGGGAGGTGGAGGCTGCAGTGAGCCATGATTGCACCACTGCATTCCAGCCTGGGGGACAGCCCCTGTCTCAAAACAAAAAAGAAAGGCCAGACATGGTGGCTCAAGCCTGTAATCCCAGCACTTTGGGAGGCCAAGGCAGTCGGGTCACTTGAGGTCAGGAGTTTTGAGTCCAGCCTGGCGAACATGGTGAAACCCCGTCTCTACTAAAAATACAAAAAGTAGCTGGGCGTGGTGGCACGCACCTGTAAATCCCAGCTACTGGGGAGGCTGAGGTTGCAGTGAGCTGAGATTGTGCCACTGCACTCCAGCCTGGGTCTCTCACACACACAGCAAAATCTCAGAATAAGAGAAAGAAATAAAAGGAAAAAACGGTGACCTAGAACCCCTTGGTGTAGCCAGAGGGTCCTTCTTCACAAAGAACTGGAGTTGAAGGGGTGACTGCTCCAAGAGAGGTGACAGGCCCACCTCCCGGGATCCTGGCATCAAATACTCCACCCTGTCAACCAGATTAGACCGCGCAGACCCCAAAGGCAGTCGCTGGCACCCTCAGCTGCTACCCGGGCGCCTCCTCTGGTGCTCCCAGGACGTAGGAGTTATGGGGTGCTCACCTTGGGCGGCACGAAGAACTCCAGGCGGAAGCGTTCCTCGGCCACAGCCCTGCGCAGGAGCAGACGGCACTTCTGCCACTGCGCGGCGCCCCCGGGACCCGCCGCCGCGTCGTCGGCCACCATGAAGCGCAGCGCCCCCTCGCGCTGAATGTCCACCAGCTCCACCTTGGCCGCCAGCGTCCGAGACAGCCGCAGGCGCCGCGTCCACTTGTCGCGGGGCTCGGCGGCGGGCTCGGCGGCACGCGGGGCAGCTCCGGCGTCGGGCTCGGGCGAGGCGCGCCGGTGCCACATGTCGCGCACGCCGTCCACCACGCACAGGCTCATGTTGCGCAGCGAGAAGCCCTTGCGGACGCGGGCCTTGATGGCCGCCTGCGTGGACACGTCCTCCTGAGCTCCGCGAGTGGCCGTAGCTTTGCCGCCTTGAGTGCGGAGGTCTCCGCGGGCTCCGGCTCCATGGCCTCCGCGCGCACGGCTGCGCCCCGAGACGTCGGCCCGGCCACTAGCACGCGGCGCACCTCCTCGCCGAAGACGTCCAGGAAGTTGGCGGCGAAGTGGCGGGAGAACGAGGCGCCGGCGTCGGGCGTGTCGTAGGCTGGGTTGTCCCGCAGGAAGCGGCAGAACTTGTGCGCAAAGTCCACGGCGGCCGCCTGCGCGTGCAGCTCGCAGAACTGCCGCCAGTCCGGGACCGGGACCGGGACCGGGACCGGGGCGGCTGCGGCGGGGCCGGGGGCGGCACCATTCATGGCTTCCGTCCCATCGCAGCCACCTGTGGCTGCGGGCGAGAAGAGCGCACATTGACTTTCAGGCCTGTGATCAGTACGTCCACCTGTCCCCTCCTTCCAGCTCCCCCAGGTGTGTGTGTGTGTGTGTGTGTGTGTGTGGACTACAGCATGTAGCATTTCCAAGCAGCATGGATGCGTGCAAAGAAAAAGAAAAAGTGGGGCCGGTGCGTGGCTGACACCTGTAATCCCAGCACTTTGGGAAGCCGAGGTGGGTGGATCACCTGAGGCTGGGAGTTGGAGACCAGCCTGGCCAACATGGTGAAACCCCGTCTCTCCTAAAAATACAAAAATTAGCCGGGTGTGGTGGTGCACGCTGTAATTCCAGCCACTCCCAAGGGTGAGGCAGGAAAAATGCTTGAGCCCAAGAGGCAGAGATTGCAGTAAAAATACAAAAATTAGCGGGGTGTGGTGGTACACACCTGTAGTCCCTGCCACTTGGAAGGCTGAGGCAGGAGAATTACTTGAGCCCAGGAGGCAGAAGTTGCACTGAGCTGAGATTGCGCCACTGTACTCCAGCCTGGGCAACAGTGAGACTCTGTCTCAAAAAGAAAAAAAAAAAGAGAAAGAGAGAGAGAGAAAGACAACTGGGAAGGCAGGAGGCGTGTCTGCAGAAGGGGTGGTCCTGCATCATTCTCTCCCCAAAACAGTAGTCTCAGAGAACTTCAGGGTCATTCCTGGAGCTAGCAGAAGAGGCTGCGATGACAGATACTTTCAAGTGGGTTCCCCATGAGCCTCTGGTGACCTCACTTCCTCAGTGACCTCTTCTGAGGTTCCACAAAGCTGGGCAGAAAGGAAGAAGTCACATGGAATCCCGTTGGCCAGACCTTTGAAATAGACCGAGAACTCGACTCCTTCCTAGAGGTCCAGGCTGCTGTCCCCAGATTCACATAAATTTTTCCTGCATGTAGTACTCCAGCAGCTTCTTCATGATCCCCGGGATCCTGATCTCACTCCCTCTAAAGTCTGTCTTGCCTCGGCGAGGTGGCTCACACCTGTCTGTAATCTCAGCACTTTGGGAGGCTGAGGCGGGTGGATCATGAGGTCAGCAGTTCGAGACCAACCTGGTCAAGATGGTGAAATCCTGTCTCTACTAAAAATACATAAACTAGCTGGGCGTGGTGGTAGATGCCTGTAATTCCAGATGCTTGGAAGGCTGAGGCAGGAGAGTCGCTTGAACCGGGAAGTGGAGGCTGCAGTGAGCCGAGATCATGCCACTGCACTCTAGCTTGGGCGACAGAGCAAGACTCTGTCTCAAAAAAAAAAAAATAATAATAATAATAAAAAATCTCTTCTCCTCGGAGCCCAGTCATTTCCAGAACTCAGGACTGCCATATGCGGTGGTGCATGCCTATAAACCCAGCACTTTGGGAACCTAAGGGTGGAGGATTACTTGAAGCCAGAAGTTCAAGACCAGCCTGTGCAACATAGCGAGACTCTATCTCTAGAAAAATTAATAATACAAAAATTATTGAGGCCAGGCACGGTAGCTCACAGCTGTAATCCTAGCACTTTGAGAGGCCAAGGCGGGTGGATCACGAGGTCAGGAGTTCAAAACCAGTCTGGCCAAGATGGTGAAACCCTGTCTCTACTAAAAATACAAAAATTAGCTAGGCATGGTGGCGGGTGCCTGTAATCCCAGCTACTTGGGAGGCTGAGGCAGGAGAATTGCTTGAAACTGGTAGGTGGAGGTTGCAGTGAGCCCAGATCACACCACTGCTCTCCTCCAGCCTGGGCAACAGTGCAAGACTCCGTCTCAAAAAAAAAAAATCATCTTGGCTGGGGACACTGGCTTACACCTGTAATCCCAGCACTTTGGGAGGCTGAGGTCGGCAGAGTGTTTGAGCTCAGGAATTCAAGACTAGCCTGGGCAACACGGCAAAACCCTGTCTTTACAAACAAACAAACAAACAAAAAATTAGCTGGGTGTGGTAGTGCACACCTGTAGTCCCAGCTACTCGGAAGGATCACCTGAGCCTGGGAGGGTGAGGCTACTGTGAGCCGTGACGTCACCACTGTACTCCAGCCTGGGCAACAGAGCAAGACTCTCTCTCTCAAAAAAAAAAAAAAAAAAAAAAAAAAAAAAAAAACCCAAAACAATCTGGATGTGGTGGCATCCCTATAGTCCCAGCTACTCAGGAGACTGAGTAGCTTGAGCCCATGAGTTGGAGGCTGCAGTGAACTATGATCATGCCACCACACTCCAGCCTGGTGGTATAGATCCTGACTCAAAAAACAAAACAAAACAAAACAAAAAACCCCAAACCCAAACCACGAGACAGATCAAGTCCCTCCTCCACACACAATCCCCCAACGGTTCCTATTACAGTCAGAGTAGAAGCCAAAGCTCTAGCTGCAGCCCCTAGGGCCTGAGATGATCTGCCTCAGTTTACCCCTCTGGGCACATCTGCTGCCACTGTTCTCTGGCTGTACCTGCCTCCCTGCCCTCCCAGAAGCACAGCAGCCATATTCCTACCCCAGGGCCTTTGCACACGCCTGGAGTGCTCTTTCCTCCACAGTCCCTCACCTCCGTCAGGTTTCTACTCAATGATCAGCTTGGCCTGTAGCCTTCCCTAACCACTCTTGAGAGTGACAAATGCCTCTGACGACAATCTCCCTCCGATGTGCTCTATTCCACCATCCTCCTGACTGCCGGCTGACATATCGTGTATTCAGCTGCTTGGTTGTGTGTCCCCCTCTGTCCCCTTCCCCCGAGGATGCCAGTTTCACAAGGCAGGGATTTTGCCAGCCCTAAAAGCGGCCGTGTCCTCCGTGCTGGGCATATGGCAGGCACTTGGGAAACACTGACTGAATGAACACATGAATGTGTTTGCCACGCCAGGCGTGTCACAGCTGTCCCCGTCTAAGCCCTCACACTGGGCCTGAGGACAAACTGCTTGTTAGTCCCAAGACAGGTCTAGGGTTCTCACCCAGGTCTGCAGTGACTCCAGGGCTTGAGGAGCCTCTTCCTAGTGTGGATCAAATATAGTAGTTCCCTCTTGCCCAAGGGGGGTATGTCACAAGACCCCTAGCAGATGCTTGAAACTGTGGCTAGTACTGAACCTATGTCACTGTTCTTGCCTGGCTGGCTGGTTTGTGTGTTTGTGTGTGTGTGTGTGTGTGTGTGTACACATAGAGACGAGATCTCACTCTGTTGATGAGGCTGGTCTCGAACTCCTGGGCTCAAGCAATCCTCTGGCCTCGGCCTCCTAAAGTGCTGAAATTATAGGCACAAGCCACTTGCACCTGGCCCGCTACGTTTTTTGGATCTAATAACCGACACAGCTCCTAAGTGGTGAGCGGGTCACAGCCACAGCGCTGTTATGCCGGACAAAGGGATGATTTACATCCCAGGCGGAACAGCCTGACGGTGTGAGATTTCATCCTGCCACTCACCATGGCCTGCAATTTACATTTTTCTTCGTATGTCTACTTCTGGGACTTTCTATTTAATATCTTCAGATCTCTGTTGACCACTGGTATCTGAAACCTTGAAAGGCAAAGCTGTGGATAAGAACTAAGGTTTTTTTCTTTTTTTGAGACAGAGTCTCTTGGTGTCTCCCAGGCTGGAGTGCAGTGGTGAGATCATAGTTCACTGCAGCTTCTAACTCCTGGGCCCAAGCAATCCTCCTGCCTCAGTAGCTTCCGAGTAGCTAGAACTACAGGCGAGAGCTACCATGCCTGGCTAAACAAACCAAGATTTTACACGAACACTGAAGGACCTGCTTCTTTCCATCGCAACGGCCTGCACGCTTCTATTTACATTCCCGCGTTCTGGAATCTGGTTCCCCCCAGAATCCCCATTCAAATTCGATTTTGAAGATGCCCCAGTCCAGGAATCCCAGCTGTCTCCTCACCCCGGCTTCATCCTCTTATTCCCAGGCCCCTCCGTCCTTCACCGCTCTGGATGGCTGAACTGTGTGGCTTGGGGCCAGCCGATCACCTGGAGGCCTTGCCAAGCCATTGCCCCTGAGGGCACAGGTCCCATCTGCTGTGTGCACACAGCCCTTATTCAAGCCAGGGGGAAAACTACCAATACTGATGAAGTGGGGTGATGGAGTGAGTGCCCTGGGAAGTCCCTGTCTGAGGAACCAGCCCAGTGTTGGGGCACAAGGGACCATCCTTCTGAGGAACGCAGTTAGAGGGTCCTGCCCTCGCCTGTCCTCCCAGGATCCCCACAGTTCCTGGATGCCCCTCCCTCACAGCGCCTGGGATCACCATGTCATCTCTCCTTGGGGATCCAAACCCTGTAATTAAATGCCAGGTAAAAATAGCTGCCCCACTTCCGTGAGATCATCTGCGAGGCCTCTGGGCCACAGGGCACCGTGGGAATTCCCTTTCCTTGGGGCAAGCTCAGCCATCAACCTGCAGACAATAACCAGGGGACAGCCCCAGGGACGGAACAGGACTCCCTGCTGAGCCCACTTAGCTTCAAGGACAGGTTTCCAAACCAGCGGTCTCCTAGGAGATCCTGCCTTGGTACTGGGGGAGGGGAGTAGGGAAGAGGGAGTTTGGTTTCCTCCGAGAGGCGGTTATTGTGTTGGGCTTCATGAGTGCAAAGAAAATAAAGAGGGAGGTGGGGGCCTGAGCAACGACTTGGAGGCAGGACTTATCAGGACATTGGCGGCTGGGCAGTGGTGGTGTTTAGAATTCATGAAGGTAGGGGGAGGTTGGGGACTGAGGCCCCCACGAGCTTTGCTCATGCCTGACCTTTTCCCTGCCCCATGTTTCCTCCTTTCTTCTCCTAATTCCTACTCACCCTTCAGTAATTAATCCAGAAGCCACTTCTTCCAGGAAGCCTTCCCTGACACCCCTCCTTTCTCCTCCGCTCAGGCCAGCACAAGTGTCTCCTCTGAGCTCCCACAGCCTCCTCCTGCCTGTCTCTCTTGCATGGTGCCAGTTACAGGGTTCTCCAAGTGTCTGTTCTCATGGCTGAGAACACAGAGAGAGTCCGCAGGGACAAATGGAAGGCGTGAGTCGTAGTCCAGGCTCC